TCTAAGGAGGCACACCTTGATCCATAGTCTCACTAAGGCTATATGGGAAGGAAGAAGGGCAGTTCTTCAGAGCAAAAGTGGGGTGCATATATATTAAAAGAATAGGAAAAGGATACTAGGTGGGAAAAAAGAACAGATATGCACTACCTTTCACTTGTTGGTTACTTGGGACATTCAAACCTACTGCTTTCCACACAGAACTTTTAAAACACTTCCAACTAACATAATTTAGCTCTCTATTCCTTCAAAAAGGGAGGTAATCCAAAGTAATGCCTGGTTAACGCATCTAGCTTCAAGTCCAGGAGTTCTGGATAATGTCAGTTCCTCTTCCCATCTCTGTTATCTTCTGTAAATTATAGACTTTAGAAAATTTATCTACTAATAATATACTCTATATATGCAATAGTAGGAGAGGGGAAAAATGAAAGAGAAGGGAATTTTTAAAAATTATATGACATAGCAAGCAAGACAGATACAGATAGTGCCCAAAAACCTCACTCATGCATTTTGACCAAGCAAGCGTAATTTGCACATGATGGTAGAGTGCTGCTGGGCACACCCAGCTTTGTGGCTTGGAAGATCAGTCCAGTCACTGAGGCCTGCCATTCACTTTTCCCAGAATCCAGATCTTCCACACACTTTAAACAGCACTGGATCTGCTGGATCTTATGAGCTCAGTGGCAGAGCATTTCAGCGTGGACCAGCTGTGCAGTGATTGTTGCTCTGGCCCTACCCAGATTTTCTCATTGCCCGGCAAATGGGTAAAGGCAGATAAATAGTCTAAAACCCATGTAGTATATGTTGTCTTCAGAATCTCAAAGATTTCAGCCAGGCATTTTGCCTCTTAGCAGGTGTAAGGTACAGCAATTATCATTCACTTTATTTTTTGTTTATTATTAATTTTGAGTCAGGAATTAGTATACATGGTGTTCAATAGAAAAGTTACAAAAAGGTGTACAGTGAAACCTAAGTTCCTTTCCTGCACTTATCATCAACCTACCCAGGTCTCCATACTGGAGGCAACCACTCGTACTAGTTTCTTATGTATCCTCATTTTAAAGGGCATATCCTGACTTGGCACAGGCCATTGGATCACAAGAAACTTCTTGAAACAGTGGCAGGCCCTGTATGTTCATGGGATTTATATCCCACCATCTGGAATACAAGCAAGGCACGTGTATTTTCCTACTCTCCAGATTCTGTCAGCCTGATATCTTCAATATGGTAGACCAGTGTAATGTGCTGTGTCCTGAGTTGATATCTCTGAGGCAGGTGAAAGTGAACTGCTTTCTCATGTCCTCAGTTTATCCCAATGGTGAAATGCATTTACCAACTATATAACTGCATTCTAGGTGCCAAGGGTGGTATTAATTTGCTCCAGTTAGGAACCACATCTAAAAGTGCAGCAGTGGACTTGAGTTGGAGTCACCATTTGATTATGTTTATGATAGCTTAATATCATTGACTAAGACCCATTGGCCCCTCATTTGGGGAGGTAGGGTTCTCTGCAAATCACCAAATGTTTTTTTGATAGCCCAGTGGCTTTTACTCTGCCGTTCCTACTAGAAGAGTATAATGAGTCAGGGCAATACCTCATTGATCTGTATTACCTTTTTGTTCCATGGACTTCTGCTTTCCAATTTCCTAGTATGAACAGAAGTTTCACTGCAATTTCCGTTGCCTTGGCCCAGTAGCCGTTCTAAATTCCCCTCCTTTCTCCAAAGGTCTGTTGTCTACAGCCCACTATCTGGTATCAGTTTGTATTATATACCCAATCAGTATCAGACAATATCAGTTTGTGTTCTTTGACTGAAAATCATAGAAAGCTACAGTGGTTAATTTAAGAAAAAAAAAAAAGGAATTTATTGGCAGGTCCCTGGGTAAGCTGCCAGAATTAAAGAGAGAGGTGAAAAGCCATTCCTTATTGAGGACATGACATAGGGTAGCTCCAGGGATCTAGACTAAGAGAGTCTTGGAATGACTTAGTTCCATCCTATGTCAATCTACTGAAGATTCAGATTCCCAGCAGAGAGTCTAGTTTGTGTAACTTGAATCATCATCCTACGCCTGGGCTGATGCACAGGTGCCTTGATTAATAGTTAACCAAGACTTGGGGAATGGAGGAAAGGTACTTTCCTAAAGGAAAAGTGAGACGTAACCAAAAGAAAGGAGGAGGAATGCTAAACAGGCAAAACCAACAGATGCCCATTCCAGAGTGTTCAGCTTAGGTAAGTGTTTCTTAGTAGGGGCATCAGTGTTTCAAGTAGAGGGCCTTTGGGGGAAGATCATTTTTGTTTGTGAGCTGCTGTCCCAGTGCATTGCAGTATGTTCAGCATCTCTGGCTCCTGGGCATTACATGCCAGCAGCACCCCCGCTGCTACCATCACAAGCAGGGCACCACCCTTTTCCCAACCACTACCATCTCCTCACTCCACCTCCCCCTCCCCAGATAGGCTATGGAATAGAGCATCCAGGACCACTGCACTGCATGATCCCTAAAACTTTTTCCGTTTAAAACAATCAGATGCATTTCCATTGGTAAGCCTAAGGTTGTTTGTAATTTTGTTAAAATAATGTTTCTTGTCTCTTCTATCAAAAAGTTCTTCATTTTAGTGTCTCCAAATATCTAAACTGACCTGCGTCTGAAGCCATATGAAATATATGAGAAATTCATCAATTTGTTTCTTCAGTTTATTTCTTTGTTTAAGGGCACAGACTTTAGAGCCAGACTCTCTGAATTCAAATCCCACAGTCGTAGCTGTGCTATTTACTAGCAGTTACTTCCTTTGGGCTTTTACATAATCTTACTTTAGGTAATTACATAATTTCTCTGTGCCTCTGTAAAATGAGGATAATAGTACCCATTTCATAGGGTTGCTGTGAGGATTAAATTAGCTAGTATGTATAAAGCATTTAATATATTGCCAAGAGCGTAGTAATTATATGTATGTATAAGCTATTACTATATTTTTAAAATGGGATATTAATAATTGTTTCACATAGTTTTAAAATACCTTTAAAATTTTCTATTTTGAAGAGTTACCTTTTAAAAATTAAATTGCTCTACCTGGAAAAGCATTTTGTTATGACGTTTCGCTTAGAACTATACTTTGAAAAGTTTCAGTAAATTATTCATTTCTTCATTCAATATTTATGAGTATTTGCCAAGCATGTGCCACAGTCTAGGAAGATAGGGAATGTACATAACAGTGGAGGCAGCAGTAACTGAGTCAACAAGTGCGTGCCCAGGGTAATTACTGATGTGATAAGAGTTGTGGAGGAATCAGCAGAAAGACCTGGAAGCAGGGAAGGGTTTAGTGTGTTGGTAAAACAGATGACAGGCCTGGACTGGACTGTGGTCAGCTGGGGAGAGGCAACATGGCAGGTAGAGGGTGTTCTGGAGCTACGTTTGGCAGGGCCTTGTAGACACTGGTAAGGAGCTGTTATCTTTTCTACACGGGTTTGGGATTTCTTTCCAAGGAAGCTATTGAAGAGGGGCTTTAAGCTGGAGCATTCTAGGTCTGATTTACATTTGGGGAAGTTGTTTTTGTCAACTGTGTGGAGAGTGAATTGCAGAGGTACAGGTGGGACCAGTAGAAGACTCTAGGAAAGAAATGGATGGGGAAGGGATTGGATGATGGCAGTGGAGTTTGAAAGAAGTGGATGAAGTTGAATCAAATCACACATATTTATTTTGGAGGTAGAATTGGCGGGTATTTGTGATGGCTTGGATGAGAGAACAATGAGAGAAAGGGAGGAATCAGGGACAATGCCTAGATTTTTGGCTATTATGCCATTTGATAGTATGCATATATTCTCGTTATTAACCTTTTATTTTATTTTAACATGGTCCTTTTCAAAACTAAATTTTTAGTATCATTTTGAAACTTTCATCTTTCTGGTCTAGGTTTTTTTGCACTGCAGCCAAATTGTACAATCTTAAATTTTTTTTTGTTTTCCTGTTTTGTACTGAGAACTTCCTTTGTTGATGTTTTTGGCATTTAATTGGGACCATTTTATCTGTTAATTGTTGCTGCTGAAGATTTAAACTCATTTGTCACTTATAGAGTAGTCTTTTGAAGTTAGATAGCTGGTATCATCCCTGCCTCAGGAAAGTATGAGTCTGTAAAAGCCTGTGCCTGTGAGAAACAGCCCTCCCTTCTCTATCTGGGTGCTTCCCATGGATGAGCATGGCTAGAAGCTGGGATGGTGGTGGGGCACCTGGAGTTTATTTACGTAGCTCTGCTTGAGGCACACGCTCACTGCATAGCTTCATTATTCTTTTCATCATGTGCTCTAGGTGTGGTAAGTCAGGTTTATGAGTTTTTATTTTCTTTCACTTAGGACTAGTACACCTCCTCAATAATTAGAGTTTATCGTGTTTTACTAAAATATGATTTCTTCTTGTGAATGGAGATCAAGCATATACAGCAGTCTTAAATTATGCAAAGTGTTCAAACTGATGCATGTGGAATGAATTATTTTACTTTTATCTAAGAAATGAAGAGAAACTAGGAAGAAAATTAAGTAGACAGTAATGCATAGAGATTTTTTCTTTTACATCTAAATGAGAAGCCAGAAATGCATGTAAAACATAAGAACTTCAAAAACATTTCTTAGACACAGACTATTATTAAACACTCATTGATGTTTTTGATTTCCCATTACGTTAAAATACTCAAATGAACTTTGTATTCAGAACATTTAAAAATAGCTCAATCTTAAAAAGATATAAAGTATTATCAGCTGTGCTTTTTGTATGTAATTAGCATGTGCCTGTAGAGGTATAATGACTTTAGTGTAATGATATTACTCATGATAAAAAGTTCAGATGGTAGGAATTGGAGCTACAGCTGGGTGACACATTTTAAAATAATTCAAAGATGACTCCTCAGAAGACATGCTATTTTAGTCCCTTGTAATTCCCCCCTCACTCATCAGTGGATCGTGAAGGCACTAATAAAAGACACTTGTTAAATGTTTCATTTTTCCCCTTGTAGGTTTGATGCGTGCTTGCTGTTTCCCTCAGTGCTCCGCAGGCCACTGGGAAGGTACATCACCTTTTCCCTTTTTCTGAGATGGCTCAAAACTCAGCAGGCCTTTCTTCTGATTATCAGTTTTGGATGCAGAAGCTTTCTGTATGGGACCAGGCCTCCACTTTGGAAACCCAACAAGACACCTGTCTTCACCTGCCTCAGTTCCAGGAGTTCCTGAGGCAGATGTATGAAGCCTTGAAAGAGATGGTAAGTAGTGGACCAAAATAATGAAGTTATTTTGTGACATCAGGGACTCTTTACCAGATTTCACCAGGCCTGAATGCTATCCAGGGTCAAGGACTTGTGGTATTGACCTAATGTGTTGACGGATTAGAAAGACAAATTACCCCTAGGTTATGCAGACAGGAAGTGTTTTCCTAGTCTCTGATTTATTGTGACTTCAGTCTTTTCTTCTTGATTAGTTATATTGTCACATGAGACTTCCTGACCAATCAGATTGTTTTTAAATAAATAAAACTTGGACACTTGCTGTCAGGTAGTAACTGGGGTTCTTTTAAAGGCCTTTGCATCTCTTAAATATTGATAAGTTTGCTGAAATGCTTATTACCCTTTCCTCAACCCTATTCTAAAGTGGGCTCTACTAAGAGATGGTAAATATTAAGATCTTTTCTTATAAAAATTTTAAGTGGTCTTTTCTGGTGAATATTAAGCTTTTGAGTGTCTTCACTATTGTTAGATAAGATACTGTGTTCAAAATTTGATATATTTTCATTTTGACATGATTTCTTATTTTTATTACAGTAGATTTTTTTATGAATTAACGTGTTTGCATATTATGAAAATATTATTTGTTTTATACTTATTTTCTAATTTCAAAATGAAAAGCAGGGGCCAGCCCAGTGGCATAGTGGTTAAGTTCACACCCTCCGCTTCGGCAGCCCAGGGTTCGCAGGTTCGGATCCTGGGCAAGGACCAATGCACCACTCATCAAGCCATGCTCTGGCGGCATCCCACATACAAAATAGAGGAAGATGGGCACAGATGTTAGCTCAGGGCTAATCTTCCTCAGCAAAAAGAGGAGGATTGGCAATGGATGTTAGTTCAGAGCCAGTCTTCCTCACAATAAAAAAAGAAAAATGAAAAGCAAAATTGTCATTTAACCTAGGTGTTCTTGTGTTATACTTTTCTTCCTTTAATCAAAGAAGCAAGTAGGAAATTTGAAGAATAATTTATGATGATATCAGTTCACATGTCTTTAGAAACCAGAAGAAAAGATAACAGTCTGTATGAATAAACAATGCTAACTTTTAAAATTGTTTTTTTGTAACAAAACTTTTGTAACTTGACCTTAAAGTGGTACCAGAAAATCTAGGACTGGCCTTGATGCTCAGACGAATGTGAGGAATTTATTGTTGCAGCAGTAGGAAATGTCTGCTGTTTCAGCTTATGTGCACATTATCTCAGTTTGGTCTTATTTTTGAACTTTCTTGAAAGGTAAAGAAGTGGGAAAAAGGCAAGTTGTACAACAGCATGTATATTTTTTAATGTTAAGCAGTTTTCTATTTGGTTCATCTTTTTTTATGTCAGGTTTTGGGTTGTTGTAGACTGAGTATGATGTCATTTAGCATATAGTAATCAAAATAGTAATAAACAGATATATATCTTTATGCTTTGGCTGCTTTTATTTCTTTTTACAAGTTTCAGAGTTCTTGTCCTCCTAAACCTTTGAAATAGCTCTACGGGAGCTGAGTTAGGAACCTCTTTTATTATGTTAGAATAAAAAATCAGAATGAAGATATGGGATTATATAATATTAATCACCCATACTGTTTTTTTCACTATTTTGTAGTCTGTTATTTTTAAATGAAGTAACCTTTCCTGACTGTTAAGTATGAGTAAAATAAAGTTAATTTTGTAACAAAAGTGATTTTACCTAAATGTAACCTAGTCTAAGGATGAAGTAAGGTGATTGCTTGTTAAACTTTATTTGAATTACTTACCTAAAGATCTTCTCTAATCCTTTTTTTCCTACTTTTCTAAAATACATACTAAACAAGAAGCATTCAAGCTCCCTCAACCTGTAGTGTCAGTTCAGTCTTTCTGAGTTGCATAGTGTCCCTTTACTGACCAAAACATAATTTTCTTTTACAGGATTCAAATACAGTTACTGAAAGATTCCCTACAATTGGTCAACTGTTGGCAAAAACTTGCTGGAATCCTTTTATCTTAGCATATGGTAAGAATCTATAGCAAGCCCTCTTGAAATACAAACTTCTAACAATAATTTTAATCTTTGTGTTGTTTACCAAAATACAGAGCTTTAAATTATAAACCTTTCTCCTCTTTTTCATGGAACAACTAATCAAATTGTATTCATTGTTCCGTTACAAAAATGGCATCCTTTATTGTTGTCCATATATGTTTGTGTATGCTTATGTAGATACACATGCACATGCACACACATGTAGATCTGTAGGAAAAGAGAACTCCTTGTATTAGAGGGCAGAAATTCCCAGGTGATTATCATAACCTCATTTTTAGTTCAGTGTAAAATGGTTATAATAATGAAATAATCTCATTGTTTCACAATTTCATATTAACTCACATACTGTTTTCCATGTGTAAAATCATTCTTCAGAATCTGAATCCTGCCATGGTTCTGCCATTATTTAGGGGTGACATTTTGGTTTTACCCATGGTTAAGAGGAATCTGGGGACACTCTGTGGGAGATGTTCCTTCGCTGACCTCCTGCCTACCTGTCCAGCCTCATTTCCTGTTTAAACCTCTACAGACACAACACATGCATCGAGCCAGGTCAAATTACTAACAGTGCCTGAAGGCATGTGATGTCAGGGCTTGTGACATGCAATTCTTTTTGCCTGGAAATCTGTTCTCATCTCTTCTCCTCTTAAACTTTCTTTAAAATAGCCTTGCTGGGGCTGAGTTAGAAACCTCTCTTAGTGTCTCTGTAGCTTAGTGTCTCTCTTAATTATAACAGTTACTACACTGTTTTATAATTGTTGGTTTGCCTATCTGATGCCCTTTAAGACTGAATGCCTCTCAAGGACAGGAACTGTGGTTTTAGTTCTCTTTCTTGTCCTAGGGCCTAGCATAGAGTGGAGCAGGCACGTCCAAAGGTGCACAGTTTAGCTAATGTAATATTTACTTTTCATATTTTTTAAAGATTTTTATTTATTCAGTTTTTTCCCCCCAAAGCCCCAGTAGATAGTTGTATGTCATAGGTTCACATCCTTCTAGTTGCTGTACGTGGGACTCGGCCTCACGTTGGACGGAGAAGTGGTGCCTCGGGGCACTCCCGGGATCCGAACCCGGGCCGCCAGCATCAGAGCGCGCACACTTAACCGCTAAGCCACGGAGCCGGCCCAACTTTTCATATTTTTTAAAGTCAAATACTAATTGCATAATATAATGATAGTAAAATAAAAAATAAAATGAATATTCCCCTTTGATATTTTAAAGAATTATACAATATCTCTTTCCTAGCCTGTCATAAGTCATTTTAAGAAGCATGAACTAGGTGGGGAAGTGACAACATCCACATTTGGTCTCATGAACATACATGCATGGGTGCACTGCACACACTCAAACTCACCTGCCCACCCTCATCTATTCCTCTTCCTCTCCACTTATGCTGCTTGCTTCCTCTTCCCCCTTGAGCTGACTCTTCCCCCCTCAACTCACTTAGCTTGTTCAAGTTCTTGATCTAAGATGGCAAAGCCATCACTGTATTTGCACACCAGGGCCGCTCTTACCTGCCCTGAGTTTATATGTTTCAGCCAGGCCAGTGTTTATCAAACATCTTTGACCAGAAATACATTTTCTGTACATGTGTATATGTACATATACATTCATACACATACACTTATACACACAGGCACATACACATTTCAGAAGAGTATGTTTATTTTTATTATGTGCAACCATGTTCACTATCCTATTTTAAAAATGGTCTTCATCACCCAAAACTGATTTCACAGCCTACTGATGGATCATGACCAAAAGTTTGAAAAACATTGAGCTGGGCCGATGATACTGATGGCGGGAGAAAGGAAGAGAAACTGTTGAATTTCCTCCATTTAAAGTCACCATCCATTGTTAGATACTTCATGGATTGAATAACTGCTTTTTAGAAAAAAGAAATACTATGCCCTTTAAGTGTATATGGTGGATGTAAGACACATCCCTAATTCAGAAATGTTAAAATGTGGGAAAGTTTGTGCTGTAGAATTGAAGAAGTAGATTGAGAGGCACTGGTCATTTTGTGCTGGGCCTGCTCTCTGTGGATTGTGTAATAGATCTGAGTTCTTGATGATAGTCTTGCAGAATAGGTAATTATGAATTAGAGTAAATAAGTCACTTTCCAGAAACTATGAACCTTATGAAAACATGTTAATTCATAAAAATATCTATTGTAATAAAAATAAGAAATCATGTCACAGTGAAAATATATCAGATTTTGAGCACAACAACTTATCTAACAATAGTGAAGACACTCAAAATCTTAACATTCACCAGAAAAGACCACTTAAAATAATCAGAGCTGGGATCCCGCCCCTCTGAAGCCCATGTTGTTGTAATGATCTGCCCCTGTGGATCACACTGTCATGGTTGAGTGTTCCAGTCCTGGCTTTACCACCAGCCAGCTTCACATGCATGTATATATTCACTGGACAGGTATTTACCAAGTTTTTTGTGTGTGTGCCAGGCTCTATGAAAACATGGCTCACAATTTCTGCCCCCTGGAAGCTTCCAGTCAGGGAGAAAAGAGACCTAACATGATCAGCTGAACTCAGCGTGATGGTTGGTGTTGTGGAGCTCTGAACGAGGAGCTAGGGGAAGGAAAGTTGCACAGTGGAGGTCGTGCTGGGGCTGACTCTTGGAGGATAGTAGGTAAAATGGGATTTTCTAAGACAAGCCACTGAACTCATTGGGTCTCAGATTCCTTATTTGTAAAAGAGAGGCTGGACTGATTTGTCCCTATGGCCTAAAATTTGTGTCTGTCTGTGATCTTTCCTTAGCACCTTATCACCATTACACTGGCCCCTTCTGACAACCAGAAACAAACTCTCCATCTCTTTCTGTTTCAATGCTTATGTTATGTTTTGAACTACCCATTAAATTTGTTTCCTGTTTGAGGTCCGCCTTTGGTTCTGGGATCACAGAGGAGACTGACAGGCACAGAACTCCATGAGTAATCAAGTCTTGCCTGTGTCGCCACCGTTGTTTTACTAGTTGGGCACTTTCTTCCAGAGAAGGATCTTTTCTTATGGTTATATAATATCAAAAGTACTTTTTAAATACAGTAAAAGTAAACAATTTCCATCAAGGAAAGGAGTAAGTCTTCCATAAAGTTAAGTCAAAACAGGATCAGAAGTAAGGATAATAAAAAAGGAGGAAGGATTTGGAAATGAAAAAACACCACAAAGAGAAGAGAACAAATAGATAATAGGAAAGGAGAGAACACCTTTTATTCATTGCTGTTCTCTGCAAAATTACTGCCTTCACCTCCTTGAAGCTGTGGCTGCATGGTTCTAGGTCTGCCCTCATGATTAACGTAACAGCTAGTTCTCTCGTCCGGACTATTTGTTTTCTATGCTGTGTAACAATTTGCCCCCAAACTTGGCAGCTTAAAACAACAAATATTTATTGTCTCAAAAAAAATGCTGCCTTCACACTTTTAAACATAGAGTTAAAGTTTAAAGAATTAATTTGGCTTTCATTTGGAATTTCAGTTCAAGATATCAAAAAATAAAATATTAGGTGGCAAATGTATGTTGGTATATTCTTTTCCCTTCCATTCTTTTTTAGAATCCCAATTTGCACTAAGATCTGCTGTCAGTGACAGTCCCCATGATGAATCCTGGGCAGTGTCCCATCCACTTAACTGCCCTGCAGGATGCTCCAGCACCAGGGATGGGCCTGACAGATGCTGTTCCCTGTAGAGTGCTGGTGGCACTCATGAATAACAAGTGATGGCTTGCATCCTTAAATCTCTAAAGCAAAGTAAGCTCGTTAGCAGTGCATTGCAGTGCATTGATTCTGGGTAAAGAAAGGCACCACCTGAAGGTTGGGTGAAAGTTTCTCTGGCTCTTTTTCTTTTTGAGAGAAAAATAAAAAATAATACACTTGTTGAATTAAATGTGCAGAATGACTCAACACCTGGGGAAAACGCCCATCTTTTGGATTCTTTTAGATTTAAACTCCATAAACTAACATTTTCTTTCTTCTTTGTCGTCTTTTTTCTTTTTAGTGGCAAGTGTCTGATTTTTGGTAATGCTCCTCATCAGGTTGTATTCTTTTTAACACGGGAAGCTGCTTGTGTAAGCATATCATTGGATGTGTCTGTCACGCTTGTGACATGAAGATAGTTAAAGTTGCTTCTCATATTTAAAGCATAGGAAGTACAACAGTCACATTTTTAATCAGTGGCATTGGTTCAACCTGAAGAACCCTAGGATCTTCAGAGGTTAAATTATATGATTCTTGAAATAAGCTGATCTCAGGCAAGCCAATGATGTATTTGAGCTCATAAAAACTAGGAAAAAATGAATATCCCTCAGAATAACTCTTGATAAAGTTTATTCGGAGATGTTAGTTATTAGCAGAACATAAGCTTATGGATGTTAATGGGGAAAAATGGGTTTAAAATTACTATTAGCATCCTTTGGTATGTGGTTGAAAATGCAGGGGTAGCTTGCTGTAGTTTGTATTTTCCTTATTTCTTGTTACTTAAGCCCTTAGAAATGTTCTATTTATGAGACAGCAGAAGATAACAAGGTAAAGGGCATCAAGTGATTCTGCAGAAGAGTGAGTCCAGGTGCTGGGTTTCCTCAGGCTTACCTCCATGGCCTTGTGATCAAGTTCACAGAAAACTAGTGGCTCTAGCTTGGCTCTAGTACGGGTACTGACGTCTTCAGTTTTTAGCCTTCATTTTTGCTTCTCAGTTGTGTTATAAAATCTCTAACTTGAATGGACTCAGTTACCAAACAAGGAAAAAGAAAATGGCTCACCAAGCACATGTTCCCGGCGAATACAAGATTTCAGAGGTCAGCACTGACATCACGTATTTAGTAAAGTTTTACATTTTAGAGTAAAGAATACGGACCATGTAAAAAGCTTCTATTTTGTCCAAACTATTTGGTATTAAAGAGAATATATTTTAAAACAATCCTTTTTGTTAAATTTATTTTTAACAAGTGAGGGTATTTTGGCAAATGAGAAAATTAAAGGATTAAATCAGAAGTATTGACTACTGCCTATAGCAGTTACGTTGCCTTAACAATGTTGAAATTACTAATGATTTGAAGTGTAAAATAAAGAACTGATCCTGAGAACAACCCAGTTCTTTTAGTTCTTTCCATCATTCTCTTTTGGCTTTAAAAATTGCTGCTGTAACAGAAAGAGGATTGACCACACACGGCTAAGCATAAGTGATCCTGAACCCACAAGAAGAAAAAACTCCACAAAGTTAAGTTTCACACGTGGTCCTGGATGCTTGTTCCGTGAACTTAGCAGTTTTGGGTTTTCCTAAAATATAATAAATATATTTCCTTTAAATGTTTACAAATTTTTTATATCGATTATCTTTTCTTTCTAATTGATACAACATACTCATTTTAGTTTTCCTTTTTGCAGATGAAAGCCAAAAAATTCTAATATGGTGTTTATGTTGTCTGATTAACAAGGAACCACGGAATTCTGGAGACTCGAAACTTAACTCCTGGACACGGGTAAGAATAAATCTTGCCCTGCACTGCTTTGAATTAAATTGATTGTTTAAAGGTGCGGCTTTGACAGTCCAGTTCTATGATGGTTTAGAAACTTTTTCAAACACACCCTTCACTGTTACATTATCTTGCTGGGTGTAAAGTTATTCAAGAGATTTCGTTTTTGTTTGATTGTGAATTCCATAAGAGATCGATCCTTAGGGTGAACTTTCCCAAGCCTGCAAGACTTAATGTTGAGTGGTTTTAGAAAGTTAGTTTCAGGTAATTGAAAGAATGTACTCTCTTTCCTTCTGGCAATTGCTATCCTTCAAAAAATTGTTTCTCCCTACCAATCTGGTTTAAATAATTATATAATTCCTCTCCAGGTACTTCTCTGCCTCTCTCAGAATCTGTTCTGTAGTAAAACTAAAATTCAAAAGTGCCCTGGGAACAGCAGTCTCTCTTTTGTGTCCTAAAGTTGGTGCCTGGGCCACTGTGCTCAGACTAGCACCTGCTGCTTACACCATCAAATGGGTTACCTAGCTGTGCTAGTCCAGATAGTTGACAGCTTCCTGAATTCCCTGTCTGTTCCTTGCTTCCTCTTGAAGGGCGAGCACAAGTTGGAGAATGTTGTAAGGCTGGGCTGTGGCTGCCCTCGCCACCAGCAAGTTGGCTGTTCTTGTCTTACCCCCACTGTCCTGCTGCAGTAACCCCAAGGACTCGCTGATGCCTGTCATGCTCCATTTAGTGTGCATGTGGTTCAAGTTAGCTACTTAGTGTTATGAAATCACCGCCCAGATTAATGCATATGGTTTTGTCTATCAGTTTGACTGGTGATATCACTCCATTCGCTGCTTTTTACCTTTTCTTTGTTTAATACAAAATTACTGACAGAAATGACAAAGACAGTATTAGTACTTTTCTGTTAGATTGGAAGAATTGAAGGCACGACAGAAGTGAAAAGGATTGTGTGAGGGTAGGAAAGACTGCAAAATTTAATTAGAAGGAAGATTAATGTAAAGAGCTGAAGAAAGGAACTGATAAGTAAAATTAGGGAAGAAAAGGTATAAAAAACAAGGCTATAGAAATAGAATAACATATTTAGTCTTTAATTTTTTAAGTCGTTGCATATCATAATCATCAATGATTATTTAGGATATATTTTTTATTGGCTAACTCATTAAGTCCTGAAATAGGCCATCTAATAAAGTATTTTTAGAGTGACTGGGTTAACTTTCTTCATTTAACTCATGACTTCATTAGCCTGTTTTTAAATTTTATTCTATGAGTTTCCCTTATTTAATACTGTGTCCCTTTTTCTCTAGGTACTTATTAAGTATAGCACAGGGTGGTAAAGTTAAAACACTCAATTCCTACCTTCAGGGAATTCACAGACTGGTAAGCAGATCATTCCAAGGCAGTGTGATTGGGTTATTGGTAAAGCTGTGTATAGGTGTGATAGTGACACAGAGGAGGGACACTTGTTCAGACTTGAGGGTTTGGAGACGTTTTCTGGGGGAGGTGATATATCAGCTGAGTTATGAAGGATGACTAGGAGAGCAGGTATAGAGTTTTAGGAAGGATATTCCTGTTGGCAGAAAGAGCACGTGCAAAGCATAGTGGTAAGGAAGCAAATCTTGTATTCAGGGAACTGCAGGTGCTTAGATATTCCTGAGCTTGGGATTTTGTAGGGTTGATGATGAAGCATAAAGCCTTATGTATGATTATAAGAAGGTTTTATTTTATCTTGAAGGCAGTGGGGAAACCACCAAAGTGTTTTAAACAGAGCAATCATGTGGCCAGGTGTGAGTTTTAGAAACTTAATAGCAAAAGAAAGTTGATTTGGAAGGGGGCAAGGATAGCACTTTGGAAACTATTGTGATAAAAGTGAGAAATCGTGAGGGCCTGAATGAAATGGAAAAGAGGCGCCAGATTTATGATATTAATGAGGTAAATCTCCAGAAGATGTAATGACAGAGTGCAGATGTGCTTAGGTGTAGATGGAGTTGAACATCACGTTCTCAGGAGAGCGAGCGCATTTGCACGTAGAGGGTTGACAGTCCTCAGGGTATGGAACAGTGGAAGCCTTGGGTGAGGGTGAGATCCATCACCCAGGGATAGAACCTAGTGTGGGGAGGGGATGGGGCCTAGGGACAACGTTGGGAGACACTTGCATTTACAGAGTGAGTGGAAGAATGAGCTACACTGTAAACTAAAACGAGGGAGTCAAAGAAGTAGAAGGAGAAAAGCAGCAGTGTTTTTAGAAGGAATGAGTAGTCATTCACATTTAATGCTGTAGCACTGCTCGGTCCAATAGAAATAAAATACATACGACATAGGTGATTTTAAGTTTTCTAGTAGCTGCTTTAAGAAATGTAAAAAGAAATAGGTGAAATTAAATTTAATAATATATTTATTTAATCCAATGTATCCAAAACACTTGTTTCAACATATAATCAATATAAAAATTAATGAGATTTTTATAATCTTTTTTTCATAGTAAGTCATTGAAATTCAGTGTGTATGTTACACTTACATCTACATGTTACACCTTAACTCAGATGCTAAATTTCAATGGAAATTGTTGATCTGTATTTAGATTTCATGAAATTTGCAGTTGAAAAAATAGGTTCACATACCCATATTATTCCAAAGAAACTTAAAATGAATCGTGTCAGTTTTTAAATTTAAATTTAATTAAATTTTTTTTTTGATGGAGGAAGATTCACCCTGACCTAACATCTGTTGTCAATCTTCCTCTTTTTGCTTGAGGAAGATTAGCCCTGAGCTAACATCTGTGCCAGTCTGCCTCTATTTTGTATGTGGGTCACCACCACAGCATGGCCACCGACGAGTGGTGTAGGTCCATTCCCAGGAACTGAACCCGGATTGCCAAAGTGGAGTGCACCAAACTTACCCACTATGCCACAGAGCTGGCCTTAAATTTAATTCAAATTTAAAGAATTAAAAATTCACTTCCTGGGGGCCGGCCCCATGGTTTAGCGGTTAAGTGCGTGTGCTCCGCTGCTGGCGGCCCGGGTTCGGATCCTGGGTGTGCACCGATGCACTGCTTCTCTGGCCATGCTGAGGCCGCGTCCCACATGCAGCAACTAGAAGGATGTGCAACTATGACATACAACTATCTACTGGGGCTCTGGGGGAAAAAATAAATTAAAAAAAAAAAAATTCACTTTCTGGGGCTGGCCTGGTGGTGCAAGTGGTTATGTGCGGGTGCTCCACTGCGGCGGCCCGGGGTTTGCCGGTTAGGATCTCGGGCACACACTGACGCACCGCTTGGCAAGCCATGGTGTGGCGGCATCCCATATAAGTGGAGGAAGATGGGCATGGATGTTAGCCCAGGGCCAGTCTTCCTCAGCAAAAAGAAGAGGATTGGCAGATGTTAGCTCAGGGCTGATCCTCCTCACCAAAAAAAAAAAAAAAAAAAAATTCACTTCCTTTGTTGTACTTACTACATTTGAAGTGCTCAGTAGCTACATGTGGCTAGTGGTCACTGTATTGGACAGAACAGCTGTAGAGCATAAAGCAAGATAAGGATTGGAAAGCACTACTTTGATTTAGCTACTAGGAGGAATCGCCTTGGTGAGAATAGGTTTAGTGGGAGGTAGAGGGAAGGAGCCAGATTGTCACAGGTTGAGGAAAGAATGGGGAGGTAAGGAAGCAGAGGTGATAAACTTTGGTTACTCTTTGAAGAAACTTGGCAGTGAAGGAAGGAGAGAGGAGGTGGAAGCCAGACTAGAGCATAGAGTTTAGTTGATTGAAATTAAGAAAGTCCTGGATATGCTTTACTCTGAGAAGAAAGTGCTGGTACAGAGGGGTTGAGGATATGGGAGATTTGGAAAGCAGTTTCCCTCCTTGTTGTCCTAGGCAAGCCTGGAATATTAACTGGTAAAAAGATGTTTAGGGATAATATTATTTAACTTTTAGCAATCTAAAGCTAATAACATATACCTGTCACAAATCAGTACTTGCATAATCGTATACCGTTAACCATAAATGCAGCAAGACAGAAGGTGGTTGTTGGTTTATGAATCAGTTGCACATGCTTCCATTTGGATACCCCATTGTCCCAACACCTTTATTAAAAAGTCCTTTCCTCATTGATGTACAGTGCTACCTTCATCGTAAATCAGGTGTCTGTATGTGCGGTTATGATCCAAAATCTCTCCATTGATCTCGTTGTCTGTCTCTGATGCGTAATTTTACGTGTCAATTTGACAGCGTCATGAGGTGCCCAGATATTTGGTTAAACATTATTCTGGATGTTTCTGTGAGAGTGTTTTTGGATGAGATTAACATTTAAATCAATAGACTGAGTAAAGCAGATCACCCTCCCTAATGTGTGTAGGGCTTATCCAATTAGTTGAAGTCTTGACTAGAACAAAGATGCTGAACCCTCCCAGTAGTAAGAGGGGATTCCTCCTGCCTAATAGCCTTTGCGCTAGGACGTCAGCTTTTTTCCTGCCTTTAGACTCAAACTGAGACATTGGATCCTCCTGGGTCTTGAGACTGCCAGCCTTCAGACAGGACCTACACCACTGGCTGTCCTTGTTTCAGGCCTTCAACTTTGGACTGGAACTGAACCATCAGCTCTCCTCGGTGTCCAGCTTGCCGACTCACTCTGAAGATCTTGGGATTTGCTCACCTCCATAATTGCGTGAGCCAATTCCTTATAATACATTTCTTTATATAGATAGATATAATCTCCTATTGGTTCTGTTTCTCTGGAGACCCCTGGTTAAAACACTGTCTTTATGCCAATGCGACATTGTCTTCATTAATGTGGCCTTATAAGTGTCTTGCTATCCAGGAGGCAGTCTTTCCATCTTGTTCTTTATCAAGACAGTTTTGGCTGATAATGAAACTTTGTATTACCATTACCTAAATTTTAGAATCTGCTTGTCAGCTTTCACCAAAAAACAAAATAACTTGTTGGGATTTTGATTGGCATTATAATCAATTAATTTGGTGAGACTCTCAATGGCTGCTATACCCTAGGGGCAAAA